TTGAAGTTTAACCTACGAGGGAAGAATCGGTTTGCTACTTTTGGCAGTGACCAGAGTAAATAGCCGGTAGCTATTCTACTATTTCCTTGAAAAGACGGTACTTGTCAATAAACGGATTGAAACGCCAGAAGAAGCAACAAGTGCTAACTGCGAGATTAGTAAGTAGTGCTAATGTTGCCGTTGAAGAGACCGTTCTAGTGCCGTATCTAGCGGATTTTGACTGATAATTTTGCATTCTCCGGTGTTATCCCCATCAAATATCACATCGCCTTTGAGGGGGTGACAATGCTCCGGGACGAACAACCGTGATTTTCGGATGTTCCAAGGTTCGCATTATATCTTCACTCTTCATCGTCCCATTGGTCTTAATTAGGAGTGTCTTAGCTGCCGAGCATGCAACAAATACCTAGTATGATCTAAACAAGTAGTTACGAGAACACGGTCTGTGGAATTTGAAAGTTGTTTAGCACAAACTGCAAGGGGTTCCAGAAGAAATACTGGATCCCATCAGGTGAACGAATATTTTTGGTTTAATATTTTTATTCAACAGGATGGCTATCATTTAGCCATGAGCATTAATTTACTATTCTCTATTTTTTCTGGACGAGGCAGCCTGTTAAGTTCAGATATCGATCACCAGCGCAACTAAACTAATGAGCCTGTCAGCATAGTATAATTAATGAAGAAACTGAGAGAAGACTTTGCTGTTTTTATGCGTCTTGTGCCCTCTAATTTCGTGTAGTCGTGCTTGTTGCAAGGTAAAACCCGTCAAAGCAGAAGCAACGAGAACGGATACTTCGGTCATTATTTTCATTTCGTCGTCCTGGTCATTCTGGTGGAGGACTGAACAACACCCAATGTCTTAATTAAAACAGCCTCTTGATCTGTTGGTTAGAACATCGGATAATCTATTTTGGACGTCGTGTTTAGCAAAGTTCAGTTTCATCCAATGGACAAGCACATATATGACGAGTACCTTTCTGCTAAGCGTGATTTTGCTCCCATTACCATCATTACGATTATGTAGCTTGCAAATGTTTCGGCAGTTGAATGCGGCTGCGTTAGTCTGTTTGATGATGCAAATAACAGCGTAAAAACATGGTTGAATATAAAATAGTATTTACGAATTTTGTTCATGAATTTTGGTGCCATGTGTCGGTCACCATAAACGGGGCCCTGAAGAAATCACAGCGCTCTTTCAACAAATCTGTGAGTGCGCCTTATTCGTGGCGGGCCTAATCGATCGATCTTGTGTTTCCCTAAATATAGCATTACTAAAACAAAGCACTGACGTGTTTCCGGGTTAAAATTTCCTGAATTCATCCATGTCGATGTGAACCCTTACGGCGAAACTGCCGATCACTCGGGCTAACACATCGATAGCCATATACACAAAATGAATACTGACGGTTGTGTGAGTGCTTCGCCTAATGACGCCCCTTGATTCAAATCAGATGGGGGTTGAAAGGTCCCCAGTCCTTCGCCCTAAATAAGCTTGAGATCATGGTAAGAGTTTACAGTATCCTGTCGATAGATATGCTAAACTCATGGCGAATGTTTTTATAATCTGATTTATGATTGTTCATTCACCATCAGCGAACATCTGTCGAACAGAAGCGAAACGCACTGCCACATTATTATTACACAAGGTGCGCTAGAATTCAGAACGACCCAGCCCGTTAAATGGTTGGCGCTTATCCACATGCACATTGCAGTTTTACACGTTCGACGGGTACGGCAGTCTGCCATGACCTGATGTGATTTTCCGGTGGCAACTTCTGTGGATATAGAGAGCGTGTCTGTAATCCAGTGCGTTCTGTACTAAAGACTTACACAATAAAGGTCTAAATCGCTTCACATTTCCACATATTCAAAATCCCGAGAGCAAAGTAGTGGCGACCGACTGCCGCTGGATACTCCAGGCCTGTGGAAAGAACAATTCTTATGGGACATTGCTGTAGAGAGCAAGTACGTCCCTAGGCGGGACAGGTTACACACGCTCGTCTCCATTACACATTGTGACGCGCTATTCCTCAAGACCTCCAAAGCAATGTCAGCGTAACGCCGCTGAAAGAGTTCAGCAAATGGCTTTGACAAACAGTGGAAGCCCATTTATCAGCAGGCAGAACAAAGCCGCTGGAAGTTTTCCGATCTTCCTCCTGAACGGAGTTAACTATTCGGCGTACTCACTTTATATATACACGAGGTATGAAGTAGAATAAAATTCTTCCGAATGTCCTCTCGCTAAGCACCGCGCGTTAAACTTTTAACCCGAACCTAAACTAAGGCCAAACACATATATCCGACACGGTTTCCCTCTCCCTACAGGGGTTCATGGAAGCTCCAGTCGATAATCCTCATGGTATGAAGATTTTTTGTTCGGATGGCTCGCACGTCACTGTTAATTGCTTCCTGCCTACGTGAGTTTGCCGCATGCTAAGTACGACAAACTCATATGAAATGAACTGGTTGACGCAAGTCAAACCGCTGCTGTGTTTGCCGATAGAACTTACTTATCCCCGGCGAGTTTGGGATTAAATGATCCCACGTGCACTGAGCCTGTTTATGAATCAGCTAAATCATTAAACAAGCACATATTGCAAACCGCATAAGTCACTTTCATCAAACCGTTTCCACTTGAGTTGGAAGCTAATGAGTAGTTGTAAGGACGCTCTCAAAGATGTTTAACCACAGCCCGTTAGATGAGCGGCAGTAGAGGATCATAAGTCCACAAAATAATTTTAAGTAGTTTGTGTACGTTATCCCTCTTGACTACTTGTGTGACGTACCTTACTTTCGTTTATTACTTAGGGCAGAGGAGAAAAAGGACGGAGGGTGGATTGTTCAGTTGCACTTTAACTGTGAATCTCGGTTCATAAAATGCATCTGAATTTATCTAATATATCTAATGTACCTAAATTTGGCCAACATATTTCGCTTGACACCGAGACAGCGCTAGAGAATTTTACAAAAATATAAGAGGAAGAAGGCCGTCTTTAAGTCCATTTGAGTGGTCCGATTGAAATCAGTGTACGTGTTTGACATTCAGTTATCCAAGTGATGTGCGATAAACGAAGAGGCACACCTGATACCTTGGTGCCTCAGCGTATTTGTAACGACAGGCAGGCAATGCTACATAGCGCCCTGCGCGCCCCCAAATTTGGATGGTTGAGTATTTAGCATGCGGATGACGAAATGCAGCCAACTTCCAAATTCTATACTTAGATTAACCCTAGATAACCCTTACTCTTCCTCATCCGAAAACCAGCTGAAAAATTTCTCCGTCGTTTCTGTCCAGGTCTCGAAAAGCATGCATATAGGAAAGAGACGCAGCGACTGAAGGTAGGCGAGCCACGAATTATCTAGTTTCTAGCAGCCAACATAAACATATCTTTGAAGTGAATAAAAGGAAACAGGATCAATCCCATTAGGCACTAAAATGTTCCGTTTGGAGAATTTAGACCACATCTTTGCGTGCATGAGTGAGCCCAAAAAATCACCGTGAAGCATACGAATGTGGGTGCGAGATGGTTCTGAGTCAATTCTCTTAGGGCCATACTTTCTTGCTCGTTGCCCAAACAGAAAAATGTGAGGCTAATGCAGACTTCGGAAACATTGTGGTTCTGTAGCAGACCGGATAGATTTCTCAACACTTATTACTTTGTAAAACAAAAATCCCCGTTCCTGGATCAGGGCGTGGAATATTCTGTAGTGGTTTACTAGACAGCACCAACAAACTGGTGGTGGATATGGGCTGTCATGCCATCTAGCAGTCCGACAGTTTTAATTGTTTGTTGCAATGTACGTACATTAATTGTTTTAGCTCCGGGATGATGCGTTCTATTCAAAAGCTTCAATATCTGGCTGCATAGTTTCATGAAGTTCAAAAGAGGAGAAACACATTTTCACTGCATTTCACAAGCAGAACTTTCCTGGCTTTCAGTTTATATAATCCCTTGTTCATACAACTGTTGAAACCCAGCATTATTAATATAGATGGGCGGATAGCCCCTAGTCAGAGAATTTGGTAATTCAGGTTTAGACGTGTTGAGAAACTGGTGCACAGTGCGACACAAACTTTCACTCTTGCCGCGTCTAATCGCCAGTCGTTGTATTTCCTTCTTTCCTATCACAAGCAGACATTTATTTGCTTGCTTCAGCCGTTAGGTTAACGTTGTCGAAAACCTCCGTATAAGGTAGATAGCGACCTGGTTGAATGTGCTGTCATACAAAACTCGGATTAATTGTGGCGATTATCGCTTTGTAAAAAGTCGGTTACAAAGTGTCTCGCCAGGCAGAACTGCCCTCATTCTGAATGTGTGATTTGTCCGCCAAGGTGATTGACATTGAACCGTAGACACGATGCGGTGATAACACGCTTTAGACGTGGAAGTAGCTCACTCAGTGTACTGACGTTCGCCTGGTTTCCTTCTGAACAACTCCTTGGTATATATACATATATTATGATCATCATCTTCATTGTCAGCTGTAAGAACCGCGCACTCGTCGTACACTGGTTGTAGCTGCCACAGTTTCGTTCACCGATGATTGGAGTAGGTAGCTGTGCATTGCACGCGCCAGCTGGTACATTGGTGCATAAATCCAGCACTGTCAGTAGGTTGTCAAGCGAGGGGGTGGAAAAAGAGCCACGCATTGAAGGCAATAGCTTTGATGCATTGACGCCATTGAGGGCGCGACTGGGCCACGTCTGATAATGTCTATAGCCACTGATGTGGCCCGTCTCGGGGTCCCCATTCAGGAAGATGGCAGTGACCAGCGCAGCTGAGTTTGCTGGTAATGGCTTTCATACTTCGTTGCCAAGTCATTGTTTGACCGCCTCTGGCTCTCTTTCACCCCTCACATGGTTGGGCGAAAAGAGCCCTTCGAAGAAGTCGGTCGACTGGCATACGCAGCACGTGGCCAAGCCAGCGCAACCTGTGCAGTGTGATCAGTTCATCTAGCGAGGGCGAGTTATTTCTCCCGAATACCATTGGACGTACCTCAGAATTACTGATCCGGCGTTCCCACCAGATTCGGGCAATGCTCCGAAGGCATCGATGGTCAAACACTGAAAGTCTTTTGACGTCCTCGGCGCGCAGCGTCCATATAGTAATGCGGAGCGCGCCGCAGCATTGTAAACTCGACCCTTGACAGAGAAGCTGATGTCACGCATGCACCACAGGCGACGTAGGTTCGCAAAACCTGCTCTGGCATTCCCAATCCGGATGGAAATATCATCTTTTGCGAGACCACCGGGACTGATACAGCTGCCCAGGCAAAACAAATTTGTCTACTACCTCAACAGGTTCACCCGCAAGCACGAGGCTAGGGTTCGAGCCCACGCAATCTTGCAGTAGCACTTTACACTTTGCAGGTGTGAAGCGCATACCAAGCCGCGAAGCAGAATTACTTAGATTATTTAGTATTGTTTGCCATGCCACGGGGTCAGATCCTAGAAGAGCTATGTCGTCTGCGTACTCGGTGTCTGTGAGCAGAGGCCCAGGGAGAACTTCGACCCCACAAGCATTAGACGCTGGTAGTTAGTCTCCCATGATCGTATCAGTGACGAAGTTAAAGAGGAAAGGTGAAAGAAAACAAACCTGTCGGTCACCACTTGATGTCATGAACTCAGCAGAGAGCTTCCGTAGAGCTATACACGGCCGTGGGAGTTGGCACAAAGCGCCTTAATGAGGGTCAAGATTTTATGGGGGACACCTTTGCTCCACAGACACTGCCATAGTGCTTGGCGGTCCACAGAGTCAAAGGCAGCTTCCAGATCAAGAAAAACGACCATTTTTGGTTGCTGGAAGCAGTGTCGCTGTTCCAGAATCTGTCGGAGGGTGAAGATATGATCGATGAAACCTCTTGCAGGACGGAACCCAGCTTGGTTTTCACGGATCTGCCTCTCCCTATGTCCAGTCAACCTTCGAAGGATAAGGCCAGAGAGCACCTTTGATGCCACAGCTAACAGGCTGATGCCATTGTGGTTTTCGCATAGCGTCTGCGTACCCTCTCTGAAGATAGGGATAATTGGCGACATACCCCATTCTGCAGGCACTTGCTCTTCGTCCCACATAGCACCAGTAAGCATTGTAAAGTGGGTCACCAGGGAATTTCCGCCTTCTTTGAAGAGGGCTGGATACAGGCTGTCCGGTCCTGATGCCTTCTCACGTTTCAGTACGGCTACTTCATACCTTATTTCTTCTTCCGAAGGGCGATCAAGGCTTACATTTTATTCGCTCGTATGCACTATCTCCACGGGCTGTGTTGCAGGAGGCCAGCTGAACTGCTCTTCGAAGTGTTCGGCACATCTCTCTAGTCGACGTTTTTGCGAGTGAAATGAGCCATCGTCCAGTGTTCGCTTCATTATTTCATCGATGACGAAGCTGAACAAGAATGGGGAGAGTGGACATCCTTGTCTGACACCACTTTTTGTAGGAAAGTTTTTGGAGAGCTCACCATACACCCTCATCCGCCCAGAAGTATGTGAACATAGAGATCGGATTATGTTTACAAACTTCTGGGGCATACCCTGTTGAGCAAGTGTAGATAACAGAACTGATCGATCAACAGAATCGAACGCACCCTTGAAGTCAAGGAATACGAGGATTGTGGGTCGTCTGTAGATGTGGCGTTGCTCTAACGCCTGACGGAGGGTGAAGATGTGGTCAACGCAGCCTCTACCCGGGCGAAATCCTGTTTGATTCTCACGAGTCAAGGCTTCGCGTGCCGCCATGAGACAATAAAGAATCAATGATGCCAGAAGCCTTGTCACAACAGGCGTCAAACTAACACCTCAGTGGTTGCTACATTCACTGCGAGTACTCTTTTTGAAATTGGTCACTACTATCGATTCACCCCAGTTGTCTGGGACGGTCTCCTTCTCCCAGATACACCCAAATAGGCTAGACAGACACTGGCTGAGGAATCCACCATCCTTTAAAAGAGCAGGTGGAAGGTCGTCAGGACATGTTCGTGATCAGCACACAACTGAAGGAGGCGATCCTCGTTGTCTGTTCGGCAAGCATCGACACCGAATCGTCCACCCAAATGTGATTCTAAGGAGCTCAGACGACCTACTTGAGCATTCAAATCGACCGCAAAGACCACAATGTCAGTGCTTTCTGCCTGACGAATGAGCCTGAAGAGCTCTGGATAAAAAGTATTTTTCGCCGCACCAGAACTGCAGTCCGTCGGGGCATAAACCGACACGACAAACAGGCACCGCTTTTTACGCCGCGAGTCATTGATCTTGATTGAACTGGATAAATGGACGGCGCAGAGACGACTGTTCACTGGGATCCAATCCGGCAAAGCGCGTTCAGCTCTGGGGCTGAGTGCTACTCGCACGCCACGAGTCATCGTTTCTGGGTCACCAGACACACGGAGGGAGAAATGTGAAAGAGCTGGGTTCATCCTTGGTGTTCTGAGATGCAGAACCACGCTCAGGTCTTGTACGCGTGTTTTGGAGACACAGCATACACGAATTTTAGGGGAGCACAAGGTTACAGCAAGCATAGCCTGTTTGCCATAGAGTGCGGACGTTAAAAGCTCCTATATAGAAAGGATCTCGTGGATTAAGGAAGGTGTTATCTTGTTTAAGGTTTGTAGGTAGGGTGGAGCATAAGGCACTTCGGTCAGATGACTGACAGTCAAATGGCCCAGCGACGTCTGCTTGTGCAGTGGGAAGGGGTTGGGGAGGGACATCGGTGGACGCTGAACTGCGCCGGCAAATGATACTTCCCGGTTGACTAGGCCCAGCAAGGGGGTTTTGTTGAGGTACCCCACCTTGAGCCTTTGACTCAAAAGTCTGACCGACTAGGCAGTGGGATAACGTAGGGTTTTGTTCGGGGACCCTGACCCTAGCCTCTGACTCAACGAGGCCTCTGACCCACGAGGCAATGGAAAAATGTACGGTTACCTTTGGGAACCCCGCCCGGAGCCGATGACCCAATAGTCTGACCTGCTCGGCTGCAGGCGGTTGTCCTAACCCGAGGGCGTAGGGAATAAGGCATTACTGTCTCATTCCTAATGAGTCTGCACACAGCAGGTGCCTTTTGAGCGGCACCGGGCTGTTTGGTTTTAAAAGTATTTGGACCGTATCGGATAATGCGCCGGCGGTCACGGTCAACCGTTGGGCGATCGGAGTGTGCGGAGTGTGCGGTTTTTGGGGCCGACCTAACCCGTCCTTCCTCGGGGGAAGGCAGCATCGCTGCTTATATAATTAAGGACGTGCTGGTCGCCTGGGAGAACCACCTTACTGCCTTCACAATCCCGTCGCAGACAGCACGGTTTTGCCCCTAGACCGCCTCGTAGCACGATTACTCGTAGTACGGGGTCTCGCTGCTCCTGGTCTGACTGCTCCCCTTTGACCTTCCTGGCATGGTTGCACCCTGTGGAACGAAGTTCCAGTCACTGTAGCCGGCGGGATCATTGCAACACTGAATCCCGACCACCACGTCACAAAACGTACGGCAAAACTAGGATTGATATAATTCCATTTATTCGGCGAATGTTGGCGCCTATCAGGTTTGTATGAGATCAAGCTGCTGACGGTTTGCAGACAACCGCAGTACCCTGTTTCAGTTAGTGAGAGGTAGCGACTGACCAGGCGAAATACTGATGGTGGCCTACGTCAAGCATTCTGATATACCTTAACCTCCAACCGCTCAATGACACAATCTGGAAGGAAGTTGGATTTTCTTGTAAGGCCTGCGTCAATCATTGCTGGGCAAAGGAAAGCCAGCCCTGGAACGAGTATAACACCAACAACACCTAAAATGTGTGTAATCTTTTAGAAAACCTTCTGCCGAGTCACACTTCAATTTAGATCGCTGCTTGTCCTATTCTAAAGCGGACACCGAGGGAGCAACTGCCGCGGCAGTGGGTGCATCAGCATGGTCAGCACGTGACCCACTACACTTAGCGATGCTGGATGATTTCCTTCTGTAAATTACCTGCTGATCTACCAAATATCCTTGTTGCAATCACCTTGTTACTAGTCCATTTGAAACCAGCAGCGCCTCTGAGAAATCCGTGTTCAAGGACCTAAAAAATGCCGCACATCCCGCGTCTCGCGTCATACATAGCGCGTACCAAGTTTTTGTAGATTTTCACGCTGTTGTCACCAAACAGGTTGGCATCGTAGTCAGTAATAATAATAATAATAATATCGATACTCAACTTATGGGTGGCATACCGTCTGGCATGACCATGCGTTTACAGTCCCACCGGGGCATGACTGGAGGATTTGCTGCTTGTGGGGGTTGCTCGAAAAGAGGACAATGTCATAAACTGCGGGAAGCACTCGAAAAAATGATAATAAAACGTTGTTTTCGCAAGTTGTATGGGACAATGGGCATGAGGTCTGATTAATTCAGACTCAGCCGGCTGAAGGACTAAAACTGGAAAACCATTGCTGGCCATGAGTGACCTTGGGTGGTTGGGTAAATGGCCGGAGTCACAACGAGCAAAAGTGGAGGTGAAGATGAGATAATTCGAATTGGTAGGACATGGCAAGTTTAGTCTCAAAATGTAGTGCAATCTGATAACAAGCAGACTCACTGGTTGGACTGTTGTAGGGAAGTCATGTGCAGGTGTTAGGTTGGATGGCGGCAGAGACGTGGGTGAATTCGAACGATTAGTCCAACAGGTCGGAATGAATGTCATGGAGGCAGTTGGGGTCAATGAAGCGGGTAGGCAAGAGGGCTCGATTGGGAGGAGGAATGGAGCAGATACGGGTGTGCTATCAAACTGAGTATGGCAGTTCCGGCCTGAAATGCTTCAGTTTTTGGGCATCTCCGTGACAGCAGTAATCCCACGGAGAGTATGTAATTTTGGCAGCATTGAGCGGGCGCTAAAGAGCAGCATTGATAGGTCCACTAGTGAGCACACCAAACTAAGGAGGAATTTGATAACTTCGTTTACACTGGAGTTCCGTACTAGGGAGAATTGTTTAGGGGGTGTAAGGGTACGTGAAGTAGAGTTGACTAGACATGTGTTCAGATCAGGTCGAGGTGTATTCACAACTGGAGGTAGAGGGGTGCTGTAATTGTTAAAGTAGATTTGAATTCACGGCAGACGGTAGAGCATAAAGTTCATTGTGGGTTAGGTATAACTCTTGAAGAATGGTATGTAGTCCGAAGCGTTTAGGGCTTGTGGGGTTTTCGGGACATGAAGTCATTCTCGTCGGCAGGAGCTGTGGAGAACGACATGGTGCCGAAAGTGGCGGTGGTTGTGCGGGGATGGGTCGCGTCAGAAAATTGTCTTCAGTTGGGACGGAAGTGGGTGTGTAGGATGGGGGAGGCGCTAAGGTCCTGAGTTGGCCGCCGGTATATGCGGATATGAGGTTTCATCAAACTCGCGGTGCGCGTGGTCTGGTGTATTTGTCATGTAATTATGGGGAGGCCGAAGTGGTTATCCTGATAAGAACGAGGGATAGATGTTCGAGGGCGTATTTGAAGGTGTTTCACGTACCGCGGTCTTCACACTAGATATTTGAGTCTGAGGGCGTATTTTGGCGGATGTGTAACGCGGAGAGACTATAGGTCATTTGGTCTTTAACAAAAACGAATGCCGCCAACTTCATTTGTAGTGACTGCTCTGGCCGGAGACGTGCATTGTCAGTCATTTCAGTTCCAGGAGAGCGTTCTACTGGGCTGATGGGTGCATTTGTAGTTTTCACGGATGGTGGAGCATAAAATCCATTTGTAGAAGCGATAAAGTGCCCAGGGTTCTGTAAGGCCATGAAGTGAGAACCATTGAGTCGTCCGGTGTGGGTCCAGTGTTCGGAGCAGTCAAAGAGCCTCTTGAGTATATATGTAGCGGGGGACTGTTGACGTACGTACTGATAACTGATGGTGCTACAAGTGTAGCTACAACAACGTGCGGAGGCTCAGGTATTCTGGGGTGCAATTTACGGTACAACTGGACAAACCGGACTACATCAATAAACCAAAGGCAATACTCAACGACACAACTACGTCCCGCCGCTTTGAACGCGACCAGAGCAAGCAGCTAGCAAGCAAAATCAATAAGAACTTGAAGCAACTCCAAGATCTCCACAAGATTACAAAAGAGGAATATTGGAGAATGAGAGCTCGTGATTCGGCCATTCCTCGCTTCTACGGACTCCCAAAGGTACACAAAGAATCAATACCTCTCCGGCCAATTGTATCACTTCCTGGAACAGCGACCTACAATCTTTCGAAAGAACTGTGGAAAAGGCTAAAGCATCTCATCGGTGGGTCGCAATACTCAATCAACAATGCGGGACAATTTTTGGAGAAACTAAAACACGTAAGCATCGATCAGGACGAAATAATGGCTTCATTTGATGTCAGATCACTATTCACGTCTGTAGATCACGATTCAGCCAAGACAACTGTGGCCGAATTATTGGACAACAACGACACACCACCTGGATCGCTGGAGAAGGAAGACCTCTGCAGATTACTCGACTTATGCCTGATCACACATTTTGGGTTCAACGGAGAATATTATGAACAACTACGAGGGACACCAATGGGATCGCCGATTTCAGGATTCATTGCAGAAGTCGCAATCCAAAAATTGGAACAAATCGTGTTGCCCGATATAAATCCCAAAATATGGGTTCGTCACGTGGATGATACATTCGTGAGCATCAAAAGAAGCGAACTGCAACGAGTAATCCAACTGCTAAACAACGTCTTTGACGACCTCAACTTCACCAGTGAAGACAAAAACAACGGAAAACTGACGTTCCTGGACGTCATTGTCACTAGATTGCCGAACGGACAGCTACAAACTGAAGTCTACAGAAAGGCGACACATACGGACCAAATCCTCAGCTACCACAGCAACCATCCAAATTGCCACAAACAAAGCTGCGTTCGGACACTTTTCAAGCGGATCGAGACACACTGCAGCACAACAGAATCCAAGATCAAAGAAGAAAAGCGCCTATACAGATTGTTTCAGAAAAATGGATACCCGAGGAATTTCATCTGGAGAACACTCAGGAAGCCAAATACGAACGATGCAACAGGACAAAATGCAAGTAAGCGAATCACACTCCCGTACATCAAGAACACCGCTGAAATGACGGCAAGGCTCTTACGACAGCACAATATATTGGTCGCTTACAAACCTGCGAGCACTCTAAGGAGGACACTATCAAGACCAAAAGGGAAATTAGATCCAATGGCGAAGAACAATGTCATATACAGGATCCAATGCAAGGACTGCGACAAACGGTATGTAGGACAATCAGGTAGGAAGCTCTCAGCCAGAATGAATGAATACAAGCTCGCCACCAAGAGGCACGATCAGTTCTCCCTCATCTCTGCACACAAAGATCAAGAAGGACATGAGTTCGACTGGAGGGGCGTCTGCATATTGGCTCAGGCAAGAACAAAAAACGAACCCGAATTTATGGAAGCATATAACTCCACCGAAGAGGCGATCAACAAACACATCGAAATTGATCCCATTTACCAGCCACTAAGAGCAAGAGAACTCGAGAACCACCGAGCTTAAAGCTGCAAAATCAACCAGACGAGGAAATCATAAGAGAAGGAGGAAAACATCATTCAAACGGACACATCAATTGGATTGGAGGAAGCGCCCAATCTAAGCACCAAATCAACCGACGGACGAAGGGACGCTGACCGCTACGGTGGAGGAAATAGGGCGGCACAAGCAAACAGTCAAACTCAAGAACGTCAGACCACAACGCAATACAACCCAAGGCAGGAGAACGAACTACTAAAAATAGATGCCGTGAGGATAACCAATCGACACAAAGGAACGCAGACCACAACGCAACAAAGATCACAAATGAACCAATAGATTCACCGAATTTGTTACACTTTAAGTAGCCAATCACGTCAGAAGATAACAGATGGCCCTCGAATGCTATATAAGCGCACGCAGGCAAGGAAGAAGTACCCACTCAACTGCGCACTGATGATGTCTCCTCGTGTGGTGACGAAACGCCAATTGCCATGCTCGGCGAACGGATCAACAGCCACCTGATCAACAACAAACAACTAACGAAGTATGTGAAATTTTCTACAACCTTCAGTGCTTCCATCTGAATGTAAGTCGTATGTTCAGAGACTGCCCGCTGTTGACGACTTGCAATTTATTAGGCCAATTTTTGCGCAAGTGTTTTCAGCCACAAAGTGAAACCACTTTTTTTGAAACCCTAGAAATTGTTGTCGAGTGAAACGGTGTGGTAGGCGTGTTCTCACTTTGGTTGCTTATACTCCCGAAAGCCTCAAACCTACACAAATGACATTTAAACAACAATCCAATTTAAACCTGATAACCTCTTCACGATTATTTTAGTATGAACCATCGAAGTGAAAGAAGTCCCATGGAAATAACATTTCCGCTATCTGGTGACGCAAAAATGTTTCATGGGCAGTCAAATGGGATAATCTCTATTATTCTCACTGTGTTTAGGAAAAGCTGGCATACCCCGACGAATTTCCCTCGAACACTGCGACATCTTTCGTCTCTTGTGTTAAAAGGAACGCCTGGTTGAAATCACGAAGGATCATAGAGGGCCGAATGCAAACAAAATTCTCGTGCTCAGGAACAATAGTGTGGGGGCACTCCGTTATGGAGCGTTTGCACAATACTAATTCCCAGCAACTTTATCGGATAACAATTTTTCACAATCTTATATATGTGATTTGTTCGTAAATCCGTCTTTTCGGCATCACCGAAGCTTTATTTTAAAGCTTTATTTGCAAGTCCTGCAAACTTTTGCCTTAGTAGCCCTCTTAAAACTTCTTTGATTACTTCTTTGAGTTTACGAGCTAACATGTTTCTTTGCTATCCTGTCTTTATCGTCTAGCTCACGAAGGAAGACTGAAAAGGAAGCAGACGATAGGCTGGCTCAATTAATGCATGGACAATACAGGGTATCATGAATCGTATCTCAAAGGCCTTGAAAGTGTGCTGCGGCATAGACAGAAACCTGAAGAATGCCACGTTATGCTACAGGTTTCTGGCACAATTAGGCAGCATGGGTACGTGGATGAGGCCAGCGTTAACAGCAGTTTTCGTTCCTATAGATATGTGAAGGAGTCGTACAAAGGTGGTCTCTTGCAAAGCGTGAAATCTCCCGAGGAAAACTGTTCAAAGGAATACTTTTTGCTTTTGAACATTTAGTGAACATCAGTCAACGTCCCACCCAGTTTAACAGTGGTTACATTTTGTTGCGCACCACCTTTTGAACAGTGCGTATTTATGTTGTTAACAGCTGATGGTTTCGCCGTAAAATGTGAAAAAGTGCAAATTGCCTAATGCCGAATATCAGCATGCCGATGTGATGGCAGTGTGTGGTTAGCTGCGGCGTTTTTTCAGCAACGACATTTTTAGCTGAGAGCTGGACTACCGAGGATGTAGTCAGCAGCGACTTTCATGATCTCACTCATAATGGACGCAAATCATGGTGTAAATGACATGAGCGTAGTGCCCAGACGTCTTTACTTTGCAAAGCAATCGGACTTGCTTATTGAAATGCACTGGTGACTTGGAAACTGATGTGTCTCCGAAAACTTGGCTGGTGAACCCCAGGGGTAATCCTCCTGACTAGCATTATCCTAAATGGATGTTGCCGCGCGCGTTTCTGCCAAGCGCTCCTTTTGATCCACCGTAGATCAAATATACATTATACCTCTGCATACATCACAACCGGAGTTTTTTCATTTTGGGGATTTCTTCACTGACCAAGCTGCATTTACTTTTCATGGAGTCATTGTTTCGCTTTCATAACACAAATGTATATTTGCTTTATGTAGGCTATGTTGTGGTTGACTCATCTTGCGCGTACCTGGTCCATCGTTTATGGTACGTTTGAGACAATACACAAATGAAGGTGAAGCTTGAATCTGATTCTTTTCGTGTCATGCAGTGCATGATGAGTGATTAAATCAAAGAGTGCAGAGTTGGCCGATATGGTTACTAGTACAGATAAAAAATACCGATAAATTATCCATGGTTCGAAAAAACAGTGTAGTTATTTTTACTGATATTTTTCAATGAGTTTGCTGAAAGGCAATTGAAATGATCACCATGAGTGCTCAAAATCATTTGCTGATTTCAAGCATGTGTACGTGGTGTCCTGTTGCCGACATTGTTTTTTGTGCTGCCTCAAAGTATGTGAATTTGAAAATTTATTCTTGCACGCTTGACAGGCAAATTGCATCTCCCCCGCATAGACAAGTACCTGTGTATCGAAAAAGGGTTTCGGAAAGAGACTTTTTCACTACGGTGGCATGAATAATTCCTTTCAACAGCGAGGCCTGAACAACCAATTTCGGCTCGCTCATTGGCTAACATCTTCTCCCAGTGCTACCCTATCATGCGAACCTTACAACCATCAAGTTAAATGAAATGCGCCGCACCGAGTTCGTGTTCGTTTTTCCGCGCTTCCGAATGCAAGTCCAGATGGCGATACTCCCCGCTGCGGAAATGAAAATGCTTTGAGCAGTTTGGACACTGATGAGGACTAGAACTTGAAGTCCTGTGTTATTCGTACATTTACAACCTTTTTAGCGTTTGATTGGGGTGTAGAAATCTTTGATGCTGAAGCAGTTTTTAAATTCAGTCAGGTGAGGTCAACCGCCTTTCACGGGCATTTTCTGCTAGCTGGTGTACCGCTACCCCGGAAACAACTATGGGTCTACCGCTCCCCCTTCACATTCAGTAAGTAAGACAGGTACATTTGCGATCGGCTGTTTGCCTTTATAAGAGGAGTCCATATTCTGTCCGTATACGTGTTGGACACTGCGGCACAACCTGAATGTCCATTATATAGGCGAGTACTGCGTAAAATAAACATCCCAACTGCAATCCACAAGCAACAAAAACTTACCATGGAGCAAGGTTTTACTTCAGAGTGGGCTACTTCCTAAATTTGTAATCCCTCGTCTGCACACTGCGCATTGTCTAAAGGATTTACCTTAATGAAAACATATGGTCTTCATCGTAACCGCAGTAGTTTGAACATGCTCCCTGTTGGCCAGATAAATTCACCAGTCTTTGCCACAAACAGCTGGCTGGTCATGAGAATCGAGTGTCTCGCATCCATTTTCGTGCGGTCGGGTTGGAGGACCGCATGTAAGCCACTGACCAGGCTCAGAGATGATCGGAGGTGTAGGCCATCATGTCCTTTCAACGAGAATGTGAAAGAAATCATCGCGAAATTATCGGGTTGCCCATCTGGGACCCCGGGTTTTCTGCACCACTATTCTTGATGTGGTAAGCTTTCGTCCAGTGTGTGTGAAAAGGTAATCAGTGCATATTTACGAAGATCAATTTGGGCATTTCGGACTCATTTTTGCGTGCACTAACCAGTGCACCTCCGCTCCTCACGCTAAATTGTGTGTTAGGTTTACAAAAGGCCATTCTAACCACAGTCTACACTGCTACATGTGAGCTGATATCATCAATTTTACCTATCTTTCAGCCGTCCCATAAATAAGCGCAACATTGGAGTGTGCGAAAATTCTCGATGCCCTTCGAATGTTTCTGCACGCGACCGAAATTCGAGGAATGCAGAGCTGGTCCGTTCACAGTCGTTACAAAATAAATCTATGCACTTTATGATCTGGTAATTGATCAGGTGGCCGTTGATCTGTTCGCCGAGCTTGGCAATTGATTTGCAAACGTTTCTTCACCAATCGAGGAGACATCGTCAGTGCGCTGTTGGAAGATGTCTCCTCGAATGGTGACGAAACTTTGCAAATCAATTTCCAAGCTCGGCGAACAGATCAACGGCCACCTGATCAATTACCAACCAATACACCCGAGCTACCAATATTCCAGAACATTACCAACTTTAGGATCTATTAAAGGATCCAGGTTTCACAACAATAACTCGACATGCGGCTTCAATAAACTAAATGAAGAATAGAGCGTGGCGCCCGTCTTCCTCACGTGATAGCTGTTGACCCGCTGTATCGCAAAAATTTTGGGTTGGTTTTCTACATAGAATTCTCCACCTACGCGGCTGTCTTTTGGTAATACCGCACAGGATGCTGACAGAAGTTGAATTCTGCTGCAAGACAAACCCCACGTTAAAATTAGATTTGGTTTTCACCCGGAAAAGTTAAGGATATCAGGTTAAAATATGTTTCTAGCCAGAACGCGAGGAAATTTGAAGTCATCAATAATTCAGCTTAACATGGAGGTGTACGATCAAACAGATAATGCTATCCACACCTAAATGTTGCAGTAATTATGTCTCAATTTCACGCATAATTTTGGAGAGATCTTGTTAACCAAATCCCACAAAACTAGCGTCTCAACAGATTCACGTCTAGTTAGCTACGCACGAGATGACTGGGTTACCCGGCTGGATGAATTGTGCGTCAGATGGAATATAGGCACTGAAGCATAGGTTTAATAATCCAACGCAAGTCCTCTGGTGCAGCCTGGCGAAAAGACCAGGGGTAGATGGTTCAAGATGCATTTCGGGCAACATAATTCAATTTTAAAAGCATTACCTTTGTCTGAAAATGAAGCCCATGTCACGATTTAGGCACGAGTTACCTAAAGATCCATTCTGACCAGCTTTCCAATCTGGACAACTTATTTTGCCTAAGTTGACCGGACGACGATTATGGATTTTACTTGCCATCGTCAGTGCAGCTGTGGATGATGAATTGAGGCACCTCTATATTTGAAGATCATTTGCTCATAGGTTTTCTGTAAGGAGATTTGGAGACTTACCTAAAGGTGCTTAGGAATCAAACAGGTAGTCCAGTGCGCCTACTGAAAATGTAAAACTTTAAATGTGTCAAACTTACCTCGTGCTCATCGCAGATATGTTTGAACCGTGTAGGTGTGGCGCCAAAAAACTGATCAAGTCAAATTATAATTCTGAACGACTTCATGTTTTTTTTACATATTATAACGCACAATATTTTGTTCTAAGCTGTACTATAAACTGTCACACTAAAATATATTCAATGTTAATGTATTCCATTATGATATTTTAAAATATATGATGTGAAGTAATGCATTTCAGTATATCAAACGACATTATAGCATTGTATAAAGCACATTATATTTCAACAAGCTTTGGAGAAAAATGTTTATCGTATTACATTATTACAAATTTTAATACATTTTGATTGATTTGTATTAGAGCATACCGGAGGCCGACATTACACCCCTCAACTCACACTTCTTAGCCTCTTAGGGGCGAGATGGCTCAAGTGGTTAGAGCGCGAATTCACCGACGGGAATGTCCGTGGTTCGAACACGACGTCTGCGACCCAACTTCTCCTGTCCAGGCTTGGGCAACCTGGCAGGATCCCAGCCCTCATGCTTCCTCCGGCTGGCATGGCATCCAGGCACCGAGATGATGTTACAGCTGAACGACCATTGAGCGTGTCCAATGAGCCGCTACGAGAATGGTTACCGACCTCAAATCCGTGGACTATAAAACGCGTCTCGCGATGCTTGATGTCGCCTCCGAGGGAACCTAATTCTTAATTATGCCCCCTTTGAACAAAGCTTGGCAAACACACGGAGGGGAATACGGTAAAAAATCTCCAAGCTCAGAGCACACACATTCAATAGGCAATTTTTCCTTATGCTAAGGCTCTGTACTTCACATTCACGGTAATTCTCTGTGACTGCATTCGGGATCTCTTGCAGTACACTGCTCTGTATAAATATACCAAAATTCTATGCAGTCACTATGATAACAGATCTTGTTCAAACAAATTTTTGGAGATTGGAATGTGATCAGAAAGATTCGCAAGGTCTTCCACGGAGGCACTTTTTTGGGTGGCCTAGATATGTCCGATTTAACGTACGAATGATCTTTTGCTACTGTAAGATGAAATTTTATATTCGTTGCTGTTGGGATGCTTTTGCTGCATGGTTAGTACATCAAGGGAAGTTGAACTAACATACACCGTGTTGATGCTAGCAAAAAACGTTAGGAAATTTGGTAGCGGCAAACTAACTTCCCAGATAATATTTTTTACGATCTTTCACTCACATACGTGCAATCGTGTATGAATTTCTTTGGACATCGCGGCATGCCGGCCTCCGCTAGTGCTTAAAGACAGGGACGACCACAGATAGAAGAGGGAACTCCAGTTCTCACACCATCACCCCCTAGATTTTCGCCAGCGTTTTGGTGGTTTCACATTCCTATGGAACAAAATTATGGGCATTCATTCATTGTTAAAAAGTTGCATCAGATCCTCCCGGTCATCTTTGGCAATCTATCTGATCTACTGAGGTGGAGCCACCGGCTAGTCTAAATTTCCATCAATTCTTCGTGGTTGTCTAAGAAGTTATAAATTTGTGGATTAAAGAGGCCTATTGACACCACTTGTTAGACCAATAAAAACGGATATTTTTCTTGTGCTTTTTGCAAGAGAAATGTTTTTTTTTCATTTACGCACGTGTGAGGCTTATTACAGGACCAATAAAAAGACAATATTGGTCAGTGTGTAGTGTCATACGAAAGCGACAAAATAGTCACAGTCATTCTTCGCCATTATTGTAGGTCCCAAGTATCCTAAGCCAGAAGCATTATTTTCTCGCAGCAGCAAATGCACAAAGTGCTGCTAGTAAATCCTATTGGGGTAAAGCAGGAGAGCGAAGGGAATGTGCCACACGTGTCGTGTGCCGAAATGATTTATTTTGCTTAGAAGCTAACATCAAGTAACCTGTTTACCATCAGGGAGATTTTGCCGTCGCTTAGTGGATACCTGACCGACTGACTGTCGTCTGACAGCTTCGGTTGGCAAAATCGGGCGTGCGTGTTAATCATATTTTAACCTCGAACTTCAACAACTAACATTGGTGTTGTGGTCAATGGTGAGCATTAATTTTGCACGCAAGCAGACAACGATAAACGATGTAACTTGATGCAATTTCGCAACTGTTACGGATAAAATTCATCATCTTTTTTGGATGTATACATCTCAAGGCTGCACGACATAGGTGTCGTCGCTTGGCCGGGGGAAACCTTCCCCTCCAAATTTGCTCCTGGGCCTGTCAAGGGATATCCAAACATGTCAACGTTTCAATCCCGTATTCTACTCCGCTTTCCTGAGTTGTGTGATGCCCAGCAACGCAATGGGAGAACAAGAACCTGCAGGATAATTTCACATACACAGTGCTAAAAGCGGAAGCCCCGAAACGGCAGAGTTTAATAGTCCTTCACTTTGAAGGGGAACTTGTGCCATTGAAGTGAAGTTCCACCTTTTGGAGCACGTCGATTTAGTTCATTTTAAGACCCGGACATGCCAAGAATAAAATCTGACATATCTACAGGTATACTATTTACTTATTTCCCTTTACTACCGGGTTTTCACTTCTTCCCTAATAACAGACTGAATGAAAACTTTGCGTCTTGAAGCATCATTATTTTTGGCCGTGAAAATGGATGTTTGCTTGAATCAGGTATGACAACTGTGCAATGGTTTTAAGTGCCACATGTTCCGGATTATGCTCTCTGCCCTTCTAAATAAATCTGAGCGAGACACGGTGCGTTAATGTAACTTTCGAGATAATCTCCTCTTTATTAGTGCTCTAGTTGCGGATTCTGGTGTAGGCGTGTTTCAACTTGATCAAGTAGCGATATACTCAAGCAAAGAGCTGTTGCATTTCAAGGCTAAGTTGGATGATTTGACGTTCATCAGTGCAAAAAGAGCAATGACCCTGCGCGTCTTCTTCTTTTACAGTTGGTCACGAAAATATTTGTTCATTGGAGTATGTTTTGTGTCGCAAATACGTTGAATTCCCCATGGCGTCTATGGATTATTCCGGTAGGGAGTTGCAGACAATCAAACCGAGTGATTACGATTCACAGTCCGCTACTGACGATGGCATGATTGGGAGAACCATGAACTACCAAATGCAGACAGATAAAGGAGACACTTTCTAGCAGGGGACACCAATTTTTTCCAGAGGAAGAATCTAAGAGAACAGTGGCAATTTGTTGAATCGGACAGGAATCTAAGCGAAAAGTTAATACAGAAGTTGGCATAATAAAGGGTTGATTGTGGGTCATTAGTATGCATTTCATGTCTCTACCGAGTAACATTCACCCACCGAATCAAATGATGCCCTAAGTAATTGATTGTACGGAATCCCATATTTTCTGGCTAAACTCGCGCATGTTGGATCATTGTTTGTATACTTCACGGCTAGCATTATGACAATCGCTATCCTGTTACTGTACGTAGTAGCACGTACGTAGTAGTACTGTACGTACGAGCTTTGTTTTGTGTGTACCGAGGTTATTGATCGAAAGGCTATTGCATGAATCCACAAATGCTTGCGTGAAAGAAACCTAATGTAGTGAACATGAATTCTAGAGAAATTGCGGCTCAGCAGCCTCAAGAACTGTCCGACCGCGCATGCAGTTCTAGGTGATCGCAGCCTTCTTTCGCCCTACATCAAGATCCTTGCAATTCTTTGTCGGCTTCGTGGTGGCATGTAAAGAAACTCGGCCTTTCTGCTGCAAGGAATCCGTCGGCGAATTGGCCTATTCTCCACCGATGCCTATTCTTAATCACTTTTTGTGTGACAAAAGGTGCGATTCAGGATAATTTGAATAATCGATTCGTGGTCTTCAGAACAAATATACCAATGATCGCTGCAAAGTGGTCACTGTTTTATACGTAGTAGAAACATAAATTTAGGAGGTATTCGACATGCACATACGTGTCACGTTTGTCTGACAACCACTCTGATTTGTGTATATGATGCGGAATAGATAGACGCACGTTCTTTGAAGTCACTGACCTAAGGATATCGGATGCTCTCAAATATTCGTTTTTGTTCCTGCAGCCTACTCTGATGGAATAGTTTGGGCCATTATTTTTATCCCGACACACGTTTCCGGTTAATCAGTACAACAGCTCGTAAAAACATATGCAATACTGGTGCAGTGAGTGTGTAGTATACATTAGGATTTTATGAGATATATGGGCTTTATTCAGCGGTATCTAAAGTTTCGGGGGAAAACGCGACAGAGCCATCCTGCAAAATAAATTGCGCGAAATTTATGAACATTTTGAACAATAGTTTTTGAAATGATCTCTGGAAATTTTGTCAATAACGCTTTCATGATTACGAATCCCCCAAAATAAGGAACCAAGTTGGTGGCCTAACTAAATTCTCAGAAGGCATAAACTAGACGGTCTTGCTTGTTTCTAATGAAGCACACAAAGCCGGGGGATCCTAGCTGGACATAATGCTGATGCCATTCTGATTAGCGTGGACGAAACAAATCATCCGAATGAACTAGTGTTTGAGTGTCCCATAGGGTCCTCCTCTTCAAAACGAACACAGGTGACGTTTGCTGGGATAAATGCGACCTGGAGAAAGTTGGGGTAAACTGGAGAAACCGTTGCGTTCTATCCAGTGCTCACTCGTTTTTTGAATTTACTTCATTTCTCACGAAATCATTGACAAGTTCACTGGTTTGCAGTCGACAAACTAGACGCACTTCATAAGCAGTTAGAATGTCTTTGGAATGGCTCGCACGATTTTCACATTTCTGAAGTTTTGGCATCAAGCAACTGTTCCTATTTAAAAGTGAACACCTCGATCAGTAACACTATATAAATTATCGTATTTTGTAAACTGCTAAGTTTTGTCACGGCAAATATCGTTCAATGTGTAGTGTAGGCTGCGTAGTATCACGACGTTTAAAACCGCTGTTGCCTTATATATATATATATATATATATATATATATATATATATAAATTTGAACATATGGCTGATATTAACAGACCGAGCAGTTTGTCAGTTCAATCTTTAGAACGCAGAAACTTTCGTAAACTTTTACAGAATCTGACATTCATTTACTGATCATAATAATATTCATTAATTTATGAATGCAAATAGAGTACCACTGTCCCTGCGATTTTCTTTTGGTGCATATTTGAAAAAGAAGTCCACTCGGTAGTGCACTATCTCGTAACATGGCCAAAAAAACCATTTATGAAATTTATACGCGCGGGATAACTTCATGTATTATGCACCTAATGTGCAGTAATCAATCCTTTTGGGCATGGTATGCCGCTCATAGCCTAGTTATGAATATGGTTTATTTAACTGCCGAGTAATAAACCTCTGTCTTATTTGAATCAGTAATCTCATATCCACTCACACGGCTTCAGCAGCAATCGCTTGTTGCTAAACGCGCTAAGACAATTTATGAATATTAGGAAATCATTACAGAGAATTTTGTTGGCTATGCAAAGTAAACGGACATTCCTGCATGCCAGATTTAGCTAAACCTTTATTGTATAAACACAGACTATCATGGGTAAGGTTTACGCTTATTCCACTTCAGATGTATATCACGTGTGCTGTTAGCACAGTGAAATTTATCAAGTTTGTTCAAACTCGTCCAATATCCCCACCTTGTATCACAATCTGAATGTAACGGACGATCGCAGATGAAAATGAGGCATGAACAATTACCTGTCCAAGCCAAATAACCATAATTGTTTCCAATCCAGTTTCACTTCACCGGGAATAGTGATATATGCTTGAGATTATTTTTTTCTAGAACTTCATGCTCTGATGCGAAGACAAGTTTTCAGGGGAATTATTGTGGATCTGAGCATGGTCTTGACAAAAATGTGGCCTCCCTGTTTTTGCTAGGACGCAATATCTGCTCTGATTAATAAAACAAGAAAATTGACATCCGCTATACGTGGAAAACGTGTGCACTGTCCTCATATCCAGCGTGTGCACACTTTACAACAACGGAAACAGCAAACACTAACAATAATGAACTCGGACAATGTGTATTAACGACGATCAGTATTTTCGATCTTTTATTTAACTATTCAGAAGTAATATAATTTATTTGTCGTTTTTGCAAGTCCTCACAAATCATTATATCGCGTTAAAAATACTCAACTTTGCCAATTGTATAAAGATTGAAATTCACAGAAAAATTGTTTTGCATGGTTTTTCCTCACGGTATGAATGTTACTGTTTTTTGGACGCAAAATAGAAAATTTCAGTTATCAGGAGCATGATTAAATTCAGATAGTTGTTTGTCTATATGCTTGTGAATTGGAAAAATTCAGTGCACCGTAATTCGCCAATATAATAAAGCTGTAAGCCAGAGCGGGCTAACTCTCAGGTGACATCCATGTTCATTTTATCCTATGAATTCGCCGCTTGTCTCAAGAAATGTCCAGCGTAACTGGTGTTCACCAGTTCACTTGACTTCGCACATGATTTTCTGAATGGATTGGTGAATGAACTTTCTCAGCGGAAATAGTCTCCAAGGCAATCCAATAGCGTGAAACCAAAAGGATGGAAGAAGCTGAAATACCAGCCACCAGCACCCACATCAACACGAATTATAGTACTTCCTTGTTTTGAGAAATGACATCCAGATGTTATTTCGCAAACGGCGAATGATTTTTAAACGTCAGACTGTGCAGATTGAGTTGTGTGAGGAAGAAGACGATTTTGGTTGATATGCAGTGCACAATCTCCAAATTGAACACAAGGTGACCCAAATGTATCTTGGTGGTTAAAAATGTATTTAGCATCACAATTTACTGAGGATAACCCTATCAGATATATTTTTATTTGGTCTTGCGTTTACGCCTTGGCGTAGAACGTCCTTGCTTGATATCGTACGACAACCGAAAAGCTCTATGGGCTCTATAGCAACCTCAGAAGATCGTAGGATATCAGAGAGTTGCCCGCAACCTTGTGAATAATTTCCTTCATGAAAGTACACCATGATATCTCGAGTATCTAGCCACCTTTGGATGATGTTTGCCTATTAAATGAGTGCAATGTGGAATGTCTCTGACGATTGAAATACGTAACATGTTTGCAATTCTGTGATACCCACATATCATTTTCATATCGAATACGAAGTAGGTTTATGAGCCCAGTTTTATAAGCGTCATCTAAAAAATGACGTTTCCACCCATCAAGCTAATTTTGACAATAAAATAGTTTCGAAATCCAAGCGAAGACCAATAAACAATAGTTTGCACAACTGCTAAACTGCACATAAATGTATGCCGGCCACCTAATCTGTTACCCAGAATCTTGGGACGCGTTCTTCATAGTTGGACGCCTATTGTGCAGCGTCTTGGAAGGGGAAATGCTTATTGATAAAAGGCCACAATCGCTTCATCTAAACAGAAACATCCGCCCGAAAGTTTGTTTAATGAGAAAAATCCTTTGAGTCATTTGTGAGTCAATATCGGTTAGTAGTGTCGCGTATTTTACCCGGCAACTATAGACGTATTTTTCTCATAACAAAATATCTGGGGGCATCATTTTTAGAGGAATTGTGGCTTCATTATTGAAATAAATAAATTTGGTGAGACTCGTTATTGTTCGAAACCCGGTATATTTGCAATCGCTTCTATTCTTGCTTGCATAATGAGTACCTGATGATTACATATTGTATTAATTTTGGTAGACAGTTTCTGTAATTTATTTGACACTGTTTTTGGGCCTTTTTTGCATATTTGCAATAAAACAACTATTTCCTCCGCAGCTTAACACGTTTCCGCGTCGTTTGATCCCGTTTCCTACAAAATGGTTCCGAAAGCTGACAGCTTTACTTTAAAACAATTCGACATAAGATGTCGAGTACTGTAACGGTCGAACGATATCTTCGAGTGACACGTAATACCGGAACCTCCGGGCAGGCAAAAAGAAGTCGGAGCTGGGTTTCTTCACGGTACCATTAGTGTAAGACCAATT